TCACGTTTCTGAAAGAGCCCGTTTCTGTTGAATGAGGCTTGCTGAACTGTTCTGTGGTGTGGAGCATCAAACACACCAATTCAGAAATGTCTAGTTGTTCTTTTTCGGAGTTGAGTCTAACACGGATCTGAAACAAGTGAAAGTAATCGTTGATCATTGATAGTTTTCTATCTCTCCATGTGTGGAGTACTCCTTTGATCGTCCAAGCTAGTCCGTTAGTTTGATCGTCAACCCCTAGCAGCACCAGATGCTTTCGATATCATAGATTCTTGTGAAATTTTGATGGTTAATGATTTACCCTTCTCTTTTTGGTGGCACTGAATATGAACGAAAACGAATAACTATTCCTGAGATTAGTGAATGCCAACGCACAGGGATCACTTTTAAAACTAAATAGCCTATTAAATGGGTTCTGAAATAAAGGCCAATCTCATTATGGTTGGGAAAATGTTCTCCAGGTTGTCATTTTTGCTCAACGTCGGAGTGCGTTTTCGTCATTTGGAGGTAATTTGTATAAAAAACCTCTTTTGACGAGCCACCTGTTTTCAAATGCGAAGGCACTGTTTGTGATAACCAACAAAGAGCACTGGACAGCTATTTCCTCCTGTTTGGGACTTGTAAGCAGTGTGTACTTTTCGTGTCCCTGTCAGGACTCTAAACACGATCATTCGAGTAGGGACTTCAAACCCTTACCCCTGAACTACACGGCCGACGGTCATCACCTTGTGCGAATGGCTTAATCAATTTAGAGTATCAAGCTTGGATTGGCCCATTCGATTGTTCAGAGGCACCAGGCACTCTTGATGGTCTTCGGTGTGGGAGATCATTAATTCCCCACGGGACAATGCATTCAAATGCGATGGAAATGTTTGGGATAATCGACGAAGAGCACTGGACAGCTGTTTCGTCATGTTTGGGACACGCGAGCGGTGCTTACCTTTTATGTCCCTGTCAGGACTCTAACGGCATTCATCCTAGTCGAGACTTCAAACCCATACCCCTGGGCTACAAACGTTTCCATCGCATTTAAACACATTCAACTGTTGCGCAATTAACGATCTCCCAAGTAGTGAAAACCACACCCAAGACCATAAAGAGTGTCTGGTGCTTCTGAATAATCGAATGGGCTAATACAAGCTTGACAGCCACCTGTTTTCTCTATTTTGTTTTGTTTTCCTGTAGCACCACACTTATCACCGTCCGAATAATTTGGGAAGCAGTGATATATATAAATTTTACACATCAGTTAAGCAACGAATGTATTAGTGTAACACCTTTTATTGTTCTAAACTATATCACTCTCAATTTTCACGATCATACGGTCTTTCGTTCTCACGAAAACTAAATGGGAGGCGGACTATTGTAAGGGAAAATTTATTACTGTGCAACCCAAAAGCATTCACTTGTGCTAGTGCTAGTGCTAGTGAACGAGGCGTGAGGCCCACAACAAGCTCGCAAATATGGGTTGTGCTTTATCGTACAAGTAAAAAATGATAAACGGTCTGACCAGCTGCCTGGGTAGTTTGCTAACGTTCGACCTCACAGGTCCCGGGTTCCATCTCCAATTGGATCCATGAACTCGCACAAATGATGTGATCCAACCAGGTCGAAACAGTTGTACAGTGCTTCCTAGCTTTTCAGTCCACGCTTCATTTGCTCTCTGTACACGACGGTTTCCCTTATAACATCCCCTTTGCCATCAAGGCCGAAGACTGCATTGCTCTTCAACCGTTTTTTCTTATGATTTATCGGTGCCCACAAATACTCTCAATTGTTTTGGTGCGTTCAAGGCTAAGTGGCTATATCAGATAAAGCTGAAAGTTTTGCCAACTTACACACAACAAAACGGGCATATCAACACTCACAAACGATATGCGTAATTCATAATGATCCGTCTGCTCTGTTTGACAAACGAGTGTAATGACATGCTTCAAGTCAATTGACTTGAAAATTTCTCTTGATCATAGGGCCACTTCGTCATTTTACATGTATTCTATATTATTTGTTTCATCAACCGACGATCGAAAATCTGTTTTGACCCGCGTGTAGCAGATCTGTAATCAAACTATCGTCATGAGAATTTACGGTTGGTTCCCGCAGCGTAGTAGAGTTGACAAGAATATGTCACCGAATGTTTTTCGGCTGCTACTTTTGGCGGTACAGCACGACATGAGAGTGGAAAGGACTAGGGAACACGGAACGGCGGGAATCCGGAACTCCAGGATGACAGGGAAACAGGATAGGGAGACAAGTGTTCCGTGGATGACGTGGGTAAGGCTAGGTTCCATGGGATGAAAAATAACTACACTCAGCTATTTCTGGTGCGGGTCGTCAAGCGCTATTCGATATGTCAAAACAAAAAGCCAGTCTTATGACTCGTTTCTTTCTGGATTGTGGAATTATTCCAGGATCAATCGTTTGTCTCAAAGCAGTACAATCCTCTCTTTGATAAAATATTGGTCAGCGCAAAATAATGAATGAAATACACTGGAAACACACTGGAATTAGTCTCCTCACTCTTTATGGTCTTCAGTGGAGTTCGACAAGATTGCCCTGTGTCCCCATTGCCCTTCAAGTTTGCCATGGAGGATGCTCTACAGAATGCTTTGTTCAGGTCTAACAAAAACGGTGAATTGGAACTCCTCTCAAGGAACAGAGTCCTTTTTGCAGAATATACCGATGACACCGTCTTGTTGGGTGGTGACAAGGCACAGGGCACAGTACAACAAGGTTTAAACTGCTTCGAGATCGAGGTATCCGGGTTTGGTATGTGCCATGCACCATCAAAGTTCAAGACCGGCAGGAGCACGTACCTGCACTGATTCTCTGTGATGATCAGCTGGAAGGGATTCAGCTCTTTAAGTATCTCGGGAGCTTGATCACAGTTGGAGGTGGTGTTGGAGAGGAGTTCGCATCACGGATGGCTAAGTCAAGAGCAGCTTTTACCGGCTTGCGACACCTGTGGTACCACTATGACATACGACTGTCCCTTAAGAGAATGGTGTACATTGTCACAATTCGTAGTACTTTGCTTTGCGGTTGCGAGACCTGACCCTCCGAGTTGAGGATGCTAATCGACTTTCTGTATTTGACAACCGATGTCTCCGAAGCATGGTTCGTATCTGGTGGGAACATCGAGTGAGCAATGACGAGGTCCGTCGTCGTGTGTTGGGTGCGGATAGTCGCTCTCTAACAGAAGAAATGGCCGTCGAAGACATACAATGAAAACGGGCGAATGAGAGCAACGTTTTCAAACATCACGATAGCTGTTGTAATGCATCCTTTGTGGCTGTCCTAAAATAGTATCTTGGGTAGAAAGATGCGTTCATTTAAAAAAGATTTGTTACGTTATTTTTAGAGTTTGGAAAACATTTTCTGTGCTTGTTCAACGATGAACTATACACCCCTTCAGGCATAGACCTTGAGTAACTTATTGATCACTAAGGTACATCAAGGAGTACAGAAGGGTAAGATGCCTAAGGTACTCAAATACCTTCCAGAATGGCTAGCGTACTGTGCATAACAAACGTGGGATTGAATGCAAAGCCTTCCCGTTATGAATTGGAGTAGAGAAACCAATAACAGGTTTGTACAATTCATCCTGGACTATTTTGGTGCATCACAGTTCGGGGTGGCAATTTTGAATGGCTAATGCCTCGGCTTATTTCAGAAGCCCTGGTGTTGTTCCCTGTGTCGTAGAAGATTCTAAACGCGTCTCGCAGCCTGATATTGTGCTTCTATTCGACTAAGTGTCATATGTTGGATAAATTGAGTTTCCTACAGGTCACTGGTGAGGTGGGATATTTTAGAAAATATTGAGGAAACGGAAAATCAGTTGTAAGGAGCACAGTTCAAAGTCAAAGTTTTATTGATTGACTTCAACTGACTACCCTTCGAACTTCATCGTCACGCACAATCCTCAGTTCATTGATTGAACCATTCACTCAGGAGTTAATATATTATCAGATGTGTTTCCCTTCTTTGCTGTTAGGTGAAATAAACTGACCGAATGTCATTGAGGATCGAATCTCAACAAACATGAATTGGCAATTCGCTTCAGCCCTGGCATGATCTGGTTGGCATAGTGGTAACGCACACGCATTTCATCCAATGGGTCCAGAGTTCAAATCCCGGACAGGATGGTGAATATGCACTACTGATGAGGTCTAATAAGAGTAAAACTCGAGTTCAGTGCTTTCGACGGTGTGGTTTATTCGATGAAATGAGGGTTGTGCGTGAAGGTGAAGTTCGAAGGAACGTCAGTTCAACTCAAACAATACTAATGTAAAATGTTTTATTATAGGCGGTTTAACAAACTTAACGCTTAGCGTGCCCCATAGGTTTTCCCAGAATGATTTGGATATCTTTACAAAAAGTAACTAGTACTTATATGCGTGATCATTCACATATGTGGAAATGTTTCAGTGTTGCATTGTTTAATCAAGCTGCGATTCGAATGATACAACTGTAGAAGTACACATAACATTCACCACATAGTAATTACAAGCGAGTGATATCGGTAATCTGGTGACTGTGCCTGGTCTTCAACTTCAAAGGATTTCAGTTCTTTGAAACGTATCAAAGGAAAACGGAAGGAATGGTGAACAACAATGATGAATCACCTCCAAGTAGGCGAAGCCAAAGTACACATTGTATAAGACACCGTTAGTGTCAGTAGAATAGGAATTTTGAAGACGCTTTTTGAATCACCCATTAAATCCATGTGTGTATCGTTGTCCAATGGAGAATAAATTGATTCAGGATTAAATGCCACGTTGAATTTCTCTGACCTTAACTCGATCGGTGAGTTCACTCAATTTTAACAAGTCTGTTCTGTTCAAATGAATTTTGATCGATTGTTGCAGTTGACTGGAAACACAGAAATGTGGATGTGTGCTTGCGCTAGACATTTCGTTCCCCAGTTGAAACTGTCTTGAACTAGGGTTTCCTCTTTATGCTCCATACGTCCCTATACACTATATACACTATCGTCATCGTAAATGCTTTCATTCTCAGGTCTGGCGTTCAGGAATAAAGATGTTGAATACTTACCTGTGGATAATTCAAACAATGCGGATCTAGGCCAGGACAACGAAGATTATCCGGTGGAATCGGATCATCATTCAACCGAAACCAGTACCACTACGGTCATCTATTGTGACTATGAGACAATATACGGATCATCGGAACCCACCCCGAATGAGGACACACAAATCCCCGCTACTCCGGAACCAAAAGGAGTGTGATCGTAGGACGCCCAAACTGTAGTAACAGTCCTCGCACAGTGCATTTATTCGCCCGTTTTGAAAGATGTAGCTTTCAAGGATGTTTTTTCATTTCTGTTTTCATTTCATTGATTTAGCACTTTTTCGAATAAATTTCATTTCATTTCGGCCAAAATGCTCATTTTGTTCATACAAATCGGGTCACAGTGTGCGCGTATGTGTGTGCAGTTGATGGTTACAATTTGTTCTGCGATACTCACGACCGGACAGGTCCCAATCTCTATTCTCAATCAAAATAGCCATTCACCGTAGAAGCATGGCTACCGGACTGTTTGTCGTAGCTTTACCGAATCCAATGAACTAGAGTGTACATCGATTGTGATACAGGTGACGACTTTCTTCATCAGGAATTTGAATTTTTTTCACATGCAGTGGTCATAAGATGATTCCAGAAAATGCCATCATTTACTTACAGTTTATTCCTGTTTTCAACTCACGAGATATGCCCATTGACAAAGAACTCACAATGCAAGCGAATATATGTTTTCGGTGAATTCTTTCGCAAACCTTTACATTAATATTTATATCAAACAATTTCAACAGGGTCAGGTGTTTGGTAATGAGTCCGGAATAACTCCAAACTGGTATTCTATTTGGATTACGTAACTAAACTTTGCTATGTTACATTAAAGTCACGCGAACAGCAAGCGGTTTTGTCTTCCCATGGCCAACGGAGTTTGACAACTTGGATCAATTTTGATTGTGCCTATGGTTCGGGTTTCATGAATCGGATGCTAATCTCCTCTACGATTGCTAACCTCCGAAACTGTATTGTTCTGCGAGTAGTGTGATGAGACTCATTAAAGTATTTCGAATGCTGAGCGTATGACAACCAAGGGTCCTGTCGGTACCGAAAAAGCCATGATCGAATCGATCTAGTTCCACTTCCAGCCAGCGTGGGTTGTGTTTTTTGTTACGCTGAGATAAATGCCTCGTCGTTCGACCTATGTGACTCGTACCAGAGGTGCATTCCATCTACAATTATAGATGAGATCAGTGTGAAAGGCTTATCTTCTATGAAACATCAGATCCTCCGAGACGTGGAAAACATGCACCCAAGCGGAGTGGCACTAAAGGTGGATTTCACTAATGCGAATAAAACACTACTGATCCTGTCATCGGTGACATCAACTTTGAATGGAAGTCTTATAAAAAGCAATTTCTTCATCTTTTTTGGTATTTTTTGTTAGGGTTCGAGGTTTAATTTAATTACGGTTACCGTAGCAACGTATCATCGAACACCATTGAAACGGACTCACGCCTGTTTGGAGTGGAGTTGTGTCAAGCTCGATCGTTGCTAATCTGAAAGACATGAGACACCGGAAAATGGTTATTCTGAGAAATCTATCGACCGTAATTGGACTGAACAGACTAAGTCAGCAAAAATACCTAGAGTGGAGGAGGAAATGCTTTTTATAAAACCTACATTCAAGGGTGCCACTGACAGGGTCAGTAGAGTTTTATCCGCAGCAAAGAAATCCACATTTAATGCGGCTCAGCTAAGGTGCGTGTTCTCCAAGTCACCAAACATCCCGTGCCACAACAAAGATAAACTACCTATGTTGACCTCATTTATGATTCATTACCACATCAAGTGCACCTTTGATGCAATTTGTGTAGGTCGAATGACAACGCAGTTATCTCAAGGGATCAAAAAACATAATTCACGCTGGCTCACACAGGGTGGGAGGGGAGCCGTGTCAAGCTTGATCGTTTCTCATCTGGTAGATACGAGACACTTGAATGTCATCTGATCAGCGTTCACAGTCACCATAACCCTCGAGAGCAATACGGTTTCGGATGTTAGTAACCGCAGAGACAATTAGCATTCGACTCATGAAGCCTGAGCTGTGCGCACAACAAAAACTGATCCAAACTCTCAAACTCCTTTGGCCAATGGGGGTGGGTGGGTGAGGAGAAAAAAGCTTGTTCACGTGATCATGACGCAACATAGCGAATTTTGGTCACGTAATCAAAACAACGTACCAATTTGGAGTTATCTCGGACACATTACCAAAGACATGACACACCAATTATTCTGTTTGTAACCCTACTGAAATGGGTTCATATAAATTTGATTGTGCAGACTTGAAATGGAATTCACATTGTGTGTTCTTATTCCTATTTATGAGTCATCATCATCAGGCCGCTTGAGTGGGTAAGTGTCTAAGTTTACACGACCACAACCATCTACGTTTGACACCAGACTGCGATTGAACATGGTGTGGCTTTTGATTGAACCCGTGTAAGTGCATTCACTGATTGCTTGTTTGTTTGTCAAAGAAAGCCACAGTTCATTCGTATTCAGTTGTCACTCGGAAGATGGTACACATTTGTAAACCCCAATACACTTCTCGTATGATGCAACTCTGGTTTTTCCATGGTCTCCATTTATCATGGCTCTCCGAGATTGAATAATTCTTAGGAATCGCTGCTTATTGTCAGGTCATTTTTCCTCGGAGCTGAATAGTTGTTTTGCATATGATTCACCACCATTCAAAGTCGCATCCTCAGTGCTCACCGGTTGATGGTATCCAATTTCTGTCGGGTTTTGTTAAACGGGAGGTTTTGTTTTTATTCTCATTGTTGTAGCTCACCTTCAAGCAGCCAAGAAGATGTTGAAGCTGTGCTACAATTCTCGCTGAGTCGCATGAAAAGGCTCAGAGTTCGATTGTTATTGAAATACGTAGTGCGGGAAGCAGCAGAAGGAGTGAACCTCATCGGAATAAAGATCAGCACTGGTTGATGAAACACATTTGACACAAAATTTTGTGTATTGATTTGAAGCGTTCACAAATAAATAGTTGGAGGAATTTGGCTAAAGCGCCGCTAATAATCTGCATACCGTGGTGGAATATATATATATACATTATTTAATATACGTAATATATATATATATAATGATATACCATATATATGCAATACAAATACAATATACAATAAAATGATACAATAGCGATACATTGATACGAAGAAAACAATGCGGTATACCAAAGGAGAAATATCTAATTGGGACTTTTCAATTCGAATTGATTGGCGCCTACGTTTACCAGCCTGACTGGTTGTGAGTTGATAGGCTCGGAAACGGCTGTCTAACTGGAAACGAAAGACTGACTCAATGAAAATAGCACACAATGGGTGAAAAAAATAATCCACAAGGTTCTGAATATAGGGAGCAGTTTTTTTTAATCCATTTAAACCGAAATGTCATAATCAAATCATAATCAATTAAATCAACGCAGTTATATTACTGACAGAGATTTTTGGTGTGTGGACGAAAGCTAAAGTGAATGCATAAAGCCATACTCAGAGCAGAGTAGAATTGTGAGCATGATTATCGTCAACGGATCCCACCAACGGGGTTGTATGTTTTGTCCGAACTATAGCTAAAGGAAATAGTACTGAGACCGGTTGTGAGTGGGTACAATTCACCATCATATGATTTGCAATTTGGAATTGATGCAAAATAAAACAGTCAACCAATCTCCGGTACATTTGCTTCACACAGTCTAAAGACGAACGTTTATTTAAATTCAATCGTACTGACCGCAATAAACTCCCCAGATGAAACAGCAATCGTTTATTCGAAACTGCAAACTTTCACGCTGCTCTGCACAAAACGTTTTATAATCGTCAGCCGCAACTGTAGAACCACTCGAAAATTTGATTTTTACGCTCAAGGTCACACGAATTAAAAACAGTGAGGTTAATAAAAGGAATATTGCAGGGGGCGAAATTCGGCTTACCAACGTTTATTGATATACAAGCGTGAAATTGGCAACTGAAATATAATGTTACTTGAAAATACTCTCGTATGACGTTGAACCACACCTGTGAGATCTGAGAAAAATTTGTCTGATGTGGTTCTCCTAGTCTGATAGTTCTCGACTTTGCTGTATGCTCTTTTGTACGTTTATTTTGTGCGAAAATCATTCTTTGATACAAATGAGAAAGACAAAGATCACCGAATCGCAGCTGAGATCGTTCACAATGAAGAAATGTTCTTTCGTGACTAAGATGTAATAAATATTCCGGTGTCAAAACCCAATTTTTTGGATATAAGTGTGTCACTTAGCTGATGTGTATGTATATGTATATAGAACAGCAAAGGGAACGAAACTCACATAGCTGCACAAAACATTATCACCTCATCATTCGAAATGCCGATGATTAGAAAGTAGACCGTATCAAAAGTACTGTCTATTGAAGTTAATGATGTTCATTTTTTCTGATATTCTGATAGACTGTTGGCATTTATGAGGGATGGGATAAAACTTTACGAATTCAACTAGCACACATTACTTTCCATCACTCCTTTGTCTCTTTCCCACTCGCTGGGTGAAGCTAATTTTTCTTTTCAACATTCAACTAACAAAATAATATAAACAATATTCGACAAACGATAGTCAAGTATTCAAACACCTTCGCCTGATCTTAGACCTGAGATCAAATCTGACATCATGGGTATCAGATTCCTAGAATTTAGACCAATCTCAGAAGTTCCTTAGCTTGAATTTTATGACAAAGCTTTTTCTGAAAAATTCTGATAGACTTATGATATTCAAACAGTATGGGATCAGATTTCCCGAATTCAACTCGCCCACACAACTTTCCAACACTCCGCTGTCTCTGTCCCATCCCCAGGGTCAAGA